GGCCAGTCTGGAGTCTGGAGGTTGGCAGAGGCACTGGAGGAGCCAGTGTTAGATGCCATCTGGCCTGCACCCATCCCCCAGGGAACCGCATCACAGAGGTGGGGCTGGATGGCTTCCTCACCGCAGTGCGGTACCAGGTGCAGTTCTCCAAGTCCAAGGCTGCGTCCAAGGGCCCCGTGGGGCTGCTCTGGCTGTCGCTAGCGGTGAGTCCACGTCAGCCTCTTCTGCTGCTGCTGCAGGCAGCTTCTTCCCATTCCCAAGGAAGGTCTGTAGTTTCCCCAGTTCCTTATATCACAATATAACCTCACCCCTCTTGCTGCAATCACTGCCTTTTCTTCCTGTCCTAACCCACCCTGCCAGGAAGACGTCCTCCAGGAGGACTAACTTCCATGCTCCCAGAGGACTAACTTCCACACTCCCAGAGTAATAACCTCCACCCTCCCAGAGGATTAACCTTCCTCCTCCTAGAGGACTAACCTTCCTCCTCCCAGAGGACTAACCTTCATCCTCCCAGAGAACTAACCTTCATCCTCCCAGAGGACTAACGTTCATCCTCCCAGAGGACTAACCTTCACCCTCCTAGAGGACTAACCTTCATCCTCTCAGAGGACTAACGTTCATCCTCCCAGAGAACTAACCTTCATCCTCCTAGAGGACTATAGAGGACTAACATTCATCCTCCCAGAAGACTAACCTTCACCCTCCTAGACGACTAACCTTCACCCTCCTAGAGGACTAACGTTCATCCTCCCAGAGGACTAACCTTTATCCTCCTAGAGGACTAATCTCCATCCTCCCAGAAGACTAACCTTCCTCCTCCCAGAGGACTAATCTCCATCTTTCCAGAAGACTAACTTTCCTCCTCCCAGAGGACTAACGTTCATCCTCCCACAGGACTAACCTTTATCCTAGAGGACTAACATTTATCTTCCCAGAGGACTAACCTTTATCCTAGAGGACTAACATTCATCCTCCTAGAGGACCAAAGAGGACTAACCTTCATCCTCCCAGAGGACTAACCTTCATTCTCCCAGAGGACTTTCACCCTCCTAGAGGACTAATGTTCATCCTCCCAGAGGACTAACCTTCATCCTAGAGAACTAACCTTCCTCCTCCCAGAGGACTAACCTCCATCCTCCCAGAGGACTAACGTTCATCCTCCCAGAGGACTAACCTCCATCCTCCCAGAGGACTAACCTCCATCCTCCCAGAGGACTAACGTTCATCCTCCCAGAGGACTAACCTCCATCCTCCCAGAGGACTAACGTTCATCCTCCTAGACGACTAACCTTC